TGGAGGAGTTGAACAAGTTGCGATGGACGCACAACTGGTTCATCAGACAGGTCATTGGGTAGTCCAGACGGATTGCTCAAATGCCTTCAACACGGGCATGCGAACCGCCATAATGGCCCAGGCCGCAAAGAGCGTCCCAGATCTCGTGGGGTACATCGCCAGGTGTTACGACGAAATCCCGGCAAAGGCGAATCCTGCACGGGTCGGGCTACACGGGCTTTGCAGCAGCTGAAAACCGCAGGCAGCAGCTGAGGAAACGACAACAAGCACAGCGGGGGGGAAGCAGAGACAGAAACGACAGCACAGACAGCATCGACCGGAGTGCGGTGGTGGCACGTGTGCACAGACACACACAGGGTGGTGCCTGTCCCGTCGACATGCTTGCTTTGCGGAAGACCCAAAAAGAGTTGATCGGAGATTGTGCGAAAAAGTCCGCCTGGAAGGTTTCCGAGGGAAAAGAGTTCAGGCACCGAGAGAGGAAAATCCGCGTGGAGAAGCGTGGAGAGATATCGTGGAGAAGGGAAACATAAGAGGTAGCAGTGAAGGGGCTGGTAGAGGTGAGAGCTTGTTGAAGTCAGTTTGGATCCATTGCGGCGACGATCCACTGATCGTAGATCGTACAAGCCGGATCCGCCGCAAATTGCCCACAGCGGAGGACGCAGCAGCAGCAGCAGCAGCAGCGGCAGAGGCAGCCGCACGTACCGACGAGAGGGCAACATCGGAACACGTGTGCGCGACACACACACGTGGTCTCGGAGAAAAGTTTTCGAGAGATCCAAACAAAAGCTCGATCGGAGATCCTGCAGCCTCGCTTCTGTTTCGAGACACGCGTGCTGGGAGCACACACACACGTGGAGGCCCGAACGGAACTGTGCTCACGACCCCGTGATCGATCGGAGATTGAGCAAGGCGGTCGCTAGGTCCAGCAGCAGCAGACGGAGCCGAGGTACAGAGAGCAGGATTGGGTGCAAAGAGTTTCTAGAAGATCTCTGAAACCTGAACAGAAGATTGACAGACGTCAAAGGAATGGCAGATCATTACTGAGTAGAAACCTTTGAACGTACGTCGGCGGCATGCACATGTTCCGCGCCGAGTTGTTTTCGTTGACTGTTTTGGCGTCTTCCTTAGGAGTGCGACGAGAAAGGACCCTGGCTCTTGCGGTTGAAGGTGGCGGGGAAGTAGGAACAGGGGGTGGCAGTGTCGGGGGTCTGGGGGAACATGGGCTTGAATGGGGGTTGCCTCAGAAAGAGCAAGACGGCGGGTGTTTCTCTCTTGGTGTGACCGGTGGCAGTATCGATCAGCAATGCCGCAAAGACGTTTGTGCGCCGAAATATGGGTGCGACAGCTTTAACCTAACCACTTCGGTGGAAAGCGGATTTCTGTTCGATACGGTGTCGGGAGTGCTAAGGGGGGAGGGCTTGGCCCTTGTGGTTGCAGGTGGTAAGGAAGTGGGAACAGGGGGTGGCAGTGTCGGGGGTCTGGGGGAACATGGGCTTGAGTGGGGGGTGTCTCAGAAAGAGCAACACGGCGGGTGTTTCTCTCTTGGTGTGACCGGTGGCAGTATCGATCAGCAATGCCGCAAAGACGTTTGCGCGCCGAAATATGCGTACCACAGCTTTAACCTAACCACTTCGGTGGAAAGCGGATTTCTGTTCGATACGGTGTCGGGAGTGCTGAAGGGGGGAGGGCTTGGCCCTTGTGGTTGCAGGTGGTAAGGAAGTGGGAACAGGGGGTGGCAGTGTCGGGGGTCTGGGGGAACATGGGCTTGAGTGGGGGGTGTCTCAGAAAGAGCAACACGGCGGGTGTTTCTCTCTTGGTGTGACCGGTGGCAGTATCGATCAGCAATGCCGCAAAGACGTTTGTGCGCCGAAATATGGGTGCGACAGCTTTAACCTAACCACTTCGGTGGAAAGCGGATTTCTGTTCGATACGGTGTCGGGAGTGCTGAAGGGGGGAGGGCTTGGCCCTTGTGGTTGCAGGTGGTAAGGAAGTGGGAACAGGGGGTGGCAGTGTCGGGGGTCTGGGGGAACATGGGCTTGAGTGGGGGGTGTCTCAGAAAGAGCAACACGGCGGGTGTTTCTCTCTTGGTGTGACCGGTGGCAGTATCGATCAGCAATGCCGCAAAGACGTTTGTGCGCCGAAATATGCGTGCGACAGCTTTAACCTAACCACTTCGGTGGAAAGCGGATTTCTGTTCGATACCGTGTCGGGAGTGCTGAGGGGGGAGGGCTTGGCCTTTGTGGTTCCAGGTGGCAAGGAAGTAAGAACAGGGGGTGGTAGTGTCGGGGGTCTAGGGGAACATGGGCTTGAATGGGGGTTGCCTCAGAAAGAGCAAGACGGCGGATGTTTCTCTCTTCGTGTGACCGGTGGCAATATCGATCAGCAATGCCGCACAGACTTTTGCGCGCCGAAATATGCGTGCGACAGCTTTAACCTAACCACTTCGGTGGAAAGCGGATTTCTGTTCGATACCGTGTCGGGAGTGCTGAGGGGGGAGGGCTTGGCCCTTGTGGTTGAAGCTGGCGAGGAAATTGGAACAGGGGGTGGCAGTGTCGGGGGTCTGGGGGAACATGGGCTTGAATGGGGGTTGCCTTAGAAAGAGCAAGACGGCGGATGTTTCTCTCTTCGTGTGACCGGTGGCAGTATCGATCAGCAATGCCGCAAAGACGTTTGTGCGCCGAAATATGGGTGCGACAGCTTTAACCTAACCACTTCGGTGGAAAGCGGATTTCTGTTCGATACGGTGTCGGGAGTGCTGAGGGGGGAGGGCTTGGCCCTTGTGGTTGAAGCTGGCGAGGAAATTGGAACAGGGGGTGGCAGTGTCGGGGGTCTGGGGGAACATGGGCTTGAATGGGGGTTGCCTTAGAAAGAGCAAGACGGCGGATGTTTCTCTCTTCGTGTGACCGGTGGCAATATCGATCAGCAATGCCGCACAGACTTTTGCGCGCCGAAATATGCGTGCGACAGCTTTAACTTAACCACTTCGGTGGAAAGCGGATTTCTGTTCAATACGGTGTCAGGGGTACCAGGGAAGACGGGGCCGAGTTTTGTTTGCTTTCGGGTGGATGAGGTTGCGGTTTTGTTCGTTTTTCTCCGTCTAAGGTTCGTGCCTAGAGTTCAGCTGTAGTGTTTCGACCAAAGTTTTGTTGACTTAGAGGCAAACATTCCTAGCTATTGGGCATCGATTTAATTTGGCTTGGCATGACGGCCTTTACGATCGACTTTTTATGTATGTCTGCATTTATCTGCAATTGTCGGAGGGCAAACAAAATAATAATGGTAACAGCAGATCCCCAAGGGCTGGGTCTCTGTTCAATAGTCTCATATTTTTCCACTTGACCCACACACTTGTCGAAAACTTCCTGTGCTCTAGGGTTTGTACGATAGCACGGTCGACTGGTTTAGTGCCTGGTTCTAGGGGGAAATCTGCCTTGGCTATCTTTCATTTTCCGAGCTCCTTCGGAGATAATGAAAACGCATGACGATATTTCGCGCATAAATCCAGCACTTGCGAGCATTGTTGAGGAGTAAATATCGTGTTCGTGAACGCTTCTTTCATGCCTCTTTTCAACTCCTGTCGCTTGTGTCTGAACGTGGTTTTGTCGCTAGTAACAGCGCTAACTGTTTTATCGGCAACCGATTCTACTGGCGAAATGTACCCTAGAATAGTATCGCGTTCAATGTAGACCTGTCGTTTGGACGGATTTGCAACTTGCACAGCAGCGGACTTGTCCTTTGCCGACCAAGTGCACACCGTTCTAGCGACCACAATTGTATATTTTCAGACTTTTCCATGTCTTCGGTAGTGACAATCCGTGGTTCGACTAACGCAGGCGTGGTTGTCTGTGGTGCGTTTTCTGTCACCACGTCTACGGTCATTTCACTTTCGGGGGGAATGCAGTATCTCCTAGGGAGATATAAGGGCACTGCTCCTATAGACGGGTCAAGCGTTACTATTGAAATTTGCGCTGGGGCATTGTTGTTCGGGTCCGCTTGACTAGCTAGTTGTTCGTCTGTGAGTTGCCGGAATCGTTCGTGTAGATTGTTGAAACGAAAGTTGCTCACCGCACCAGTCAAAGACCGCACCAAACGAATTCATGATGCTATTATCGAGCAACATCTTATCCGGACCTAGGTTGGGTAACACCAGTGCCTCGACTGGTAGCGTAATGTCGCCCAGTGTGAGGTCAAAACGGATATATCCTAGGATTTCTAACGCTGATCCATCTGCACTGTACAACTGAATTGCACTCGGGGGCACAGGTCTCAGCGGTACACGTTGCAGACTCGGATGCGATTTAATTGAAGACTCCGACATGCACGGTACATCAGCTGCTGTGTCAATAGTAAGGTCAGACACAGGGTGGTTATTCACTCGGGCAGGAATGCGCAACCTCTTAGAGATGCACACAAATGGAGGCATAGTCTATACTTCAGTATTTTCATAATAATAGATGCATGCTAGTCAGTACAAATTCAGCTTGCGGGGCTAACCTGGGAAGCAACGCACGCTTGCGTTTGTTCTTCCTATACTTTCCCTGCTTTCTTTGCTACTTGGCTGACGATGCAAAAATGGCTGGGCAGAATCTGCTACCGAAGTCTCATAATTTCTGTTAAATTCTCGGACAGACGACGTCAATCCACGTCCTTTATCCCGAGGAAAAAATGGTTCGCTCGATTTTCTACTGTCATGGGCACACGGTGCTGATTCTGCTCGGGCATTTTGTGCTTTGTGAGTTTCCTCAGCTAATGTTGTGCTATTGACCTGCCGCCCTGCGGGCGAGGGATCCCGTGAAGGGCCCCTTCATCCTTTTTTAATGTACAGTAGTTGTACTTTTCCGATTTTGGGAGATCGTTCTGCCGGAAAGTAAAAATTGAGCAGGCTAGACCTGTCTAGATGTAGATCTATGCGTTGAAACGGGGGTGCCTACAGGCATAGAAGATTTTGCAAGCTGGGGCGCGGACGGTGCTACATGCTAGGCCTGTATGTAGTATCCTCGCTATGCTGAGTAGATGTCAACTCGGGGGCTAAGCTGCGTGGATGTACAGGTGAGTTCTGAGTTGCAGTGGGCAATACTGGTTGGCGGAAAATGATACCTTAAGAGCGCTACCTCCAATGTTCTCATTCTTCTCAACGGTACTGCAGCTACGTGCTGTAGAAGAAGTGTTCACCTGACCAACAACTTCTGCGGGGCCGGAGTTGTGGTGGCGGGCTGCGTGGTCGGGCGGGAGAGTGACACCATCCACTCGGGAGGTGTGGAGCCCTCTTTCCAGTGTCGGGCGAGCAACTCGGAGAACTGGCCTCCTGCACTGGACATGAGCGCCTGGCGGTCCTCGGGTGAGACTCCCTGTGTCCGAAAACTTTAAGCAGCTCGTGAATGATGTGCATGTCATAATCGCTGCTCAACTCCTGGTTATCAGCTCCATCGCCGCCGCTATTATCCTCGTCGCCGCTGTTATCCCCATCGCCGCCGCCATCAGGTGTGTCACCCTTTTCCTCGCTCTCGGCGCGCTCGTTCCCCTCGGGAATAGGCTGTCGCTGGGAGTCATTTCCCCGAGAGGGACGTGGTGTTGCCACACGCTGAGGAGGGGTGCCCCGCCCCGACTGGGTAATGGACGATTGCGACAAGGCGGGTTTCACGGCAGCGAGCTCTTGCGNCTCCTGGTTATCAGCTCCATCGCCGCCGCTATTATCCTCGTCGCCGCTGTTATCCCCATCGCCGCCGCCATCAGGTGTGTCACCCTTTTCCTCGCTCTCGGCGCGCTCGTTCCCCTCGGGAATAGGCTGTCGCTGGGAGTCATTTCCCCGAGAGGGACGTGGTGTTGCCACACGCTGAGGAGGGGTGCCCCGCCCCGACTGGGTAATGGACGATTGCGACAAGGCGGGTTTCACGGCAGCGAGCTCTTGCGGCAGCTCCGCAAGCTCCTCCTGGTGACGCGCCAGTTCAGCGGTTGTCTTCTCTGCCCGCTGTTCTGCGTCTTCAGCGCACTCGGCAATTTTTTCTTGTGCGAGCTCTTGTTGTTGGGCATCGCGATTTCCTCGTGTCCTTTCCGTCTCGCTACACAAATCACGGCGGAGCCGGGTACTCGTCGACGCCAATGACGTTACTGGCCCCTGTCGGAGATGGAGGCCGGCACTCTTGCAGCATTCTCCCACTGCCAAGGGTGGCTATTTCCTTTCGTGAGATGTAACGAGGAGAGGAAGGTATAGAAAAAGAGTAACGATAGGGTCGAGAGAGGCGAGCCGGAGGCTCCCCATGTCTTGTCTCGGCAATCGGCCATGGGCTGCGGAAGCGACAAATCTCCTAGGTAGGTGCATTACTTGCTACTTCTCCCGATGGCAAGCTACCCCGAGGAATCGTATCTTCCTGCACTTTTGCACAAATGGTTGGTTATATATTCCGACCGGTGTCCTCCACACCAGCCCTTAGTAGTCTAGTGGGTAAAGACTACTGCGAGCTGGGCCTGTGTCGTTAATCTTCTGGTCTTCTGGTTTGAAATGTTCCGGTTGTACGGAGGGACTTTTCGATACTACTCCCGTCGGTATTCATTCTGCTCTTCATCGGGACTCTCTCTCGTCTGTGTGTGTGTTCTGTGTGTGGTATGTGTGCTGTGCTTGTGCTGTGTTTACGTGAACCACACACCTCCTATACCTGTGTAAAATATGCGTTGTGCTTACATTAACAGTACAACTCCTGCCGCGGTGCTTGTGTCTCGAGTCTTTGTAGGACCAGATCCAGCGGGAGAAAACGGACAGGTTATTTACCCCGACCAATAGCCTTGGTCGCAATCAATACCCTGCTGTGAAGCCTGGCCTGTCTGCAAGGCGACAGAGAGCAGCGTTCGGTTTCCGTGCGGCGGGATTCGTGACTGGTCCCTGTTCCCCCACGGCTGCAGTCCGTTCCGGCGTGCTGGAATTGCATATATGTGTGTAATCTCAGCCCAGAACAACAAACTCCTCCTGGCGCTTGGGCGGAGTCTTGTAAGACGAGATCCAGGTGGTGGGGTAAGAAAGGTTATCCACGGACCACACCAGTAGCTTGTTGATGGGCCCCATTTTGCCCCTAAAGTGCCGTGTACCGTTTCGCCTTCACAACGCGTCCCGACATAGCCCAATGGCGACGTAGAAACAAAATCATTCATGTCCTCTGTCGATTGGAGGCTTGCAGGGCGAGATACAGCTCGTTGGAGAAAGCGCATGAGGAGCGTATCTACCCCACTGGTGGGGTAGATCAGAATTACAACGGCTGATTCAAGAAACGACCGAGACCTGTCTGTCAGTTCAACCTGACGACACTACGCAAACCCCCTGTGGCTGCTGCGGCTGCTGCCAGAGTTAGGGGGGGGAAATCCACTCCAACACGGAAAAGTAAGCCCCAAATCCGTCCCATGGTGTTCGCCTCCCAGCTTGTCGTTCCTGCCTCCCAAACAACCTATCCGTTTCGCGATCAGCAGTTTGCTCCCTACAAACGAAACCATCAATCGTCTTGGTATTCGGGCCTGAATACCCGGGGAAAATTCCGCTGCCGGCCGCCGCTGCCGGCCACGGCCTCTAGCCGGAGAGGGGTAGGGGAACCGTCACCAGCGGGTAGCACTGAATCCAAGGTAGACAGGTGGGAACGCTAACGCGCGGCGGCCGCCTGATTGCGGACAACCGCTTCCACCTTGTAGAGGCGCAGGGGGGCGGGGCGACAAGAGGATTGGGGAAGGGGGGGTGGGGGGGACAGGACACTCATTGCTATTTTTACGACATACATACCCGCCATGACACCATTGACCCTCGCGCCAAGATGGGAGGGAGCGTGTTGGGGTTACATCGAGACCACGATGGGGTATTCTGAGTCAAGTTCGTTCTTGCCTTGGTAGAAAGAGCATGCACCGGGCGCAGCGGCAACCTTGGGTACGCCTGGGGCCATACGGAACTCGTGGCCGTAGCACTGGCGGCATGTCCGACAGAAAACGTTCATTCTTTGTAAGGCAGAAACTTTTTTTTTAAACCAAAAAGTTACAAGCTCATCTCGTTTTCGTTCAACCCCGGAAAAATGTGCATGCCATTTGGCTTCAATTCTCAACAGCAGTAATTACGTACGCTGTTAATATTAATACGTACGCCGTTATTATTAATAGATGGGCACGCTGACGATGTCGCTGATGGTAATGCTGTTATCTTTAGCATCACCGTTGTTCTTGCTGCCATCGATTTTTGCTGTTCCTCCTTTCCGAGAACACCGCGACGTGAATTATTTATCTGACGCCGCACTCACTTCCGGTGTCAACCACAAAAGGACATCCGATGATGGTCTGAACTCGTTTACCGCCTGTACGAAGCATACACTGAAGCCGCTTACGATTGAGACTGAGCGATAGAGGAGCAATCTGCCCTCACCTCCAAGGAGATCAGGGTATGGAACCGAATCGTCAGGCTCACCTCCTGCGGGGACAGGTCCGCGGCGTCAGCTTGGGTCATGGACTCCGGCAGTGCTCCCCTCGCTAGGGCGGGCTGGATCACTCGTGCCTGCTGCTGCTGCTGCTGCTGTTGCTGCTGCTGCTGCTGCTGCTGCTGCTGCAACCGCCGCTGCTGTTCTTGCACGTACATCCACCCCCCGGGGGCCTAATCGGTGAAGGACATCGCAAGGTTTGTTTTACGGTACCGCTCGTGTCTTCGTGGGTCTCAATGCGAGGAAACGCTGAAAAACGTGGCGTAAGGTAGCACGCATTGCGAGACACGGGAGCAGGACGCACCCAGCCCTCTCGTCCACCTTCCAGTCTCTTCGACTTGGCGTGATTGTTGCGAAAATGTGGTTCTTGTAGAAAATTTCTCGAGGTCCACGTAGTAGACGAAACGTTTCACCGACGTTCGGTTCCAAGCGGCTCGCTTCGATCGAGTCCGAGCCGGTTGGGCACCCATCTCCACGTAATGGTTCGAATGCCTTGCTCGCTCTCCCCGCCTCCACATCGATCCAAGCGAGCCTATAATTGCGAGACAGGTCTGTTTGTGTACCTGAGGGTGCGGGGCCGCGCGCTGCTGTGCCGGTGTCATCTTGAGGCTCTTGGGGCGGACGCGGACGGTCTTCGTGACGAAGCCGGCCGCCTGGTTTCGCAGGACGGGGGGTACAGATGAGGGTAAAAGTGGAGTTGGTGGAGGCGGTGATTCGAACATGGAAGGGGTTCGTTGCAATGCCGGCAGTGGGAGCGGAAGACGCTTCGTGATGAAGTCAGCCGCATGGATTCATGCTGAGGATGGAGGAAACAACAGTGGGCGGGGCGATTCGAGCATGGAAGGGTTTCGAGCGATGACGGCAATTTGATAGCTTTCACCTAGGGAAGGATATGCTCGAACGCCATACATTGTTACAACGCACGCTCAACAGTATTAAAGCTCTGTGCACCACTTTGATATTTTTCTTATTCGGGCCCCCAACACATATCCGTGTAAACAATGAACTGCGACTCACAGTTCCCAACCGCCAAACCACAGAGAAGACAAAGTCACAATGAAGGTCATTTTCGTTTTTTCAAGTTCATTGTTGTGCACATGGTCAACCGATGGCATATCACAACGGAATCATGATCTCTACTCGACGAAAACTCGGCCAAAAGGTTGGGAAGTCAAGGCATGGCGGTCCCGTTGTGCAGCCTGCAGGTGAGGTACACGCTTCACAAACCGAAAGACCCAACGTCAGCTCCACCTCCACCAGCGTCACAACTACAACAATAAGTACACCCACAATAACGAGAACGACATTACCAACAACGACAATTGCAACAACCCTTCACAGAAATTAGATGGTGTGGTAAACAGGATGACGTACCGGATTCTTGGCCCTGGAATCTCGACGCCTAGCCCTTTTAAGCTGCTTCCTGACCTTCTTCTTCATGCCCCGCTGCGATACAACCTGCAGGAGCACATCAAGACATCAGACCATTTGGATTGCCATTTGTCGTTGACACCGGACGCTGGCGTGAGAAAAACAAAACACCCATGTCGCGTTGTTCTCGACACAACAACAACAACAACAACAACAACAACACACGCTTGAAATACCGAGGCATACGTGTTTCCGAGACGAAACGAGGATAGGCGGTTGTTGCAAATCATATCTAAAAAATGATTCACGGAAATAAACGCTAGCATATTCGACACGCAGAACTCAGGCCGCGTTTAATTGTAAGATGACCGTGAAAGTTTGCGCGCATGTACATTGGGTAATTGCTAAATGCGAAACGATCAGCGGCGGGGGCAAATTTTTTGAGTTGCTGAATTCCTTGGCGGACATGCTGGGGCCCAGGAGGTGCATATGCAAAACCTTTAGGACCCCGAGTGTCGACCAAGAAAAGCAGCAACAAATGAAAGGTACCACCGCCCATCGCTTCGAAATCATCCAAAGTACGTTTATGTGAATGCCAGAGCCTTACTACTAAACCCGGCTTGAGGCTTTGGTCATTTCTGCAATCAAGTGTCCCACATTCTGTTTCCATTGTAATGACTTGGTCATAGTGTCAATCTTGTTTCAGGTATGTGTTTGCGGTACAAACGACCCAATTCTTCACTTTATCCCAACTTTGCGCAAAAAAGTCGCAAAATAACTTCGGCTTGTTTGAGCTTCACTGACACAAAAAGGTCTAGCTCCTATAACAATAACGGGCCCACCGACGGCAGGGCACAACAACGATCGCAGCTGTCCAGCGCATCGACTATCTCGATGAAACGCTCTCTACGAACCCACATCAAGAATCTGCGAAGCTTCACGAAGACTCTGTGAAGCTTCATTAAGGAACTCTCGACAAACCTTCGTAAAAGCTCCTTGCGAAGCTTCATGCAATACTCAAAGGTTCCAGAAGAAACTCTCTGCAAAGTTAAGGAAACACTCTACGAAGAAGGCAGATGGCGGAACAAAATGAAGACTCTCTGCGAAGCTTCATAAAGTGAGGTGTTTCATGAGACAAGCTTTGGCAGATGTCGGTGGATGATGCGTGCATCTGAGCCTCCAACGCTTCGTAATTCCGTGCCGCACTGTCTTGACAGTCGCCAGTTTGCGTCCGGGGGTTGGATGAGTGGGGATCCTTACTTCTGAATGGTTCCGTTGTGGAGATTTGGGTGTAAGTAGCACGTTGGTGTGTGCCTACCGGCTGACACACAAAAATAATACAACGCAGTGCACCCATAGTTTTTCCCTCGTTTTGAAAAAGCTTGCTGGACATTGAAATGATTTCTCAGGCTCCTCATCGCCTGAGACTCGGCATAGTATTTAACTGTGTAGCGAATGCTCATATCAAGATTCCGGCCTCGACGATTTGTTCCCTTGTTCATGTGAGTGTCGCACTAATACTGAATAAGCCGATATACTCATAGTCGTGCATGCCGTGGTCGTCAGACCATGGATCTCGCAGTCGTCTGGCAGCTGTGGAGGAATACATCTGGGTTCATTTCCGCGAACCAGTTTGTACCCGCCTTGCTTTTCTCTTGCACTCAACCTACAAAGGCGACGGCAGTTCTCCCAGATATAAGAGGCGGAGACTACGGTTATGAAGTAGAGGTTGTTGGCACTATCTACAGGTTTCGCGTTTCACGAGCACCAGACTCGCAAAGGCAAAGCAATATCTCCAAGACCTACCAAGAACAGCGGTCCTAGAAACCGCGCAAACAAACAAAGTCGAAATGCTCGCTCGACGGGTAAAAATAGGCTCCGCCAACCTCGCTGGCGAGTGACCGCAAGGCTCACCGGTTTTCGAGTCTCCCCCTTAGACTTAGCCTCGTCGGCTGGCGACAGGGTCTTCGTGATCCTCTTGATCTGAACGCGGCAGCCGGGGCAGATGCTGGAGTTCTTGGTCCACTGGTGGATGCACGCGAAGCAAAACACATGCCCCTGGACAAGGGATATACGGAGAGGCGAGAGATGGAGATGAGGTTCTCGGGTAATGAGTGGTCGGTGCCACGAGGAACAAGCAATACGCTCAGTCCTGAGTGCCCAACAAACAGAAAAACAAGAAACATAAAACAGTGAGTGAATGAGAATTGTCACAGACGGGCGCAATCTGGTGGGCAACGGTATCAGTACGTGATAAATGTCGGGATCGGAGTGGCTTGTTGCCACGGCGCATAAAACCATTTTCCAATCCCAAGAAGTCGGGTCGCTAAAACACCGTGCACAACGGAGCAGGTCGGTGCTAATGTTGCAGTGTCGACGGACAGAGCTAGCCGAGGAGACCAAAAGAATTAACACAAAATTGTCATCGAGAAAAAAAAAAGTTAACAAAAAAACAGGTCGAACCAACAGCTAGACCAGTGCCAGAGACCAAACGCCAATAACTACAAGGAAGACTGGCAAAAATTCACGCATACAAGAGGCAATAACATACTTGAATCAACAGACAGTGCAAGAAACAAAACAAAAAACTACGAAAGGTGGCATTAACTTACGCATGAGAGGACGCCCCTCTCGAGGTCCGGGAGCTTATCGCAACAGATCGCGCACATCTCCTCCTCCTCCCTCTCCCGCTTCTTGCTCTCCTCCGCTGCCTTCTTGGCTCGCTCGACTCTCCTCGCCTCTTCCTCCTTCGAGACTCCTGCTTTAGTTGCATCGTCGTCACACGCGTCTCTGGGTATGGCAGGACAGACAGCTAGCTGACAGACCGGCGAACGTCTTTGGCGTTGCGGGACCGAACAGGTTTGACACGTGCACCGCGCCAATTCTCAACTTAAAGACGGAGAGCAACGGCGAAAGCGTCGTAATTCGGGCAAATATTCGTGTTCGTTGTATGCATATCGACAGAGGCATGCGTGCGTTACGGGGTCCCTCGGTCCACTGACATCCTCATTCGAGGTCTCTCCTTTGCCCTTGTTCAACCACCTACATACCGCAGTCAAATTGAAGGGCGGGAGGCCAACTGTTGTCATGCTCTTTACCACACCCTAGCTTGACATCTTCCGACGGGAATCGCGATTTTATTGTCCGCGCTTGTCCCAGGGATTGACTGGGGGAAAGAAGCTTCGCCGGATTCGTTTGTCAGGCGACCCCGGGGCCAATTCGCTCTGTCATTGACCAACCATGATAAACAAGAATCACACCACAGAAGTGTACACCGATGGACACACAAACGATAGCGCTGCGACCACCCAAAAAACTCCTCCTCGTCGCCATGGTGGAAGGCTACAACGCGCTTTTGTGGCTCTTTTCCCGGGAAGACTTGCATGCTACCACGGTCAGCCCGCTCTTGATGGTGCAGCAGCGGTGGTCCTGGGTTAGCGATATGCCCCTGTATGACGACGACGAAACCGCGTGGTACCGCACCCTCACAAACAACCGCTATGTCGGCAATACCGACCTCCCCTCGCGAGCCCCCCCCGGTGTTTGCCATCGGGATTGGGTTTTCGTCGCTTGGCAACGACGTTGTGAAACAAGCCAATTCACTTCGTGAACTCGGCAACCAAGTAACCGGTTTCTTTGCCTCTTTTTTTTTTTGCGATAACCATAATGGTGGTCGAGTAGATCATATTGTGTGGGGTCGAGAACCCTCACTCTGCGCAAGGGGGATGATCGCACCACGTTGTGTTACAATGGTCAAGCATTCTCGAGGCAGTTACACAGTGCTTACAACTGTCTCTGGAAGTGAAAGCACCAGAAAATAAATTAAGTCATACGCAGCTGTCATCCGTACGCAAGGAAGTACGCACAAGATGCCGAACACCCTTAGCAGGATGCAGCGCACCCTTCATGCGACTCGCCGAACACCTCACGGCGCTTCGCGCTTGGTGGTGTGAGAGCCTGGTCCGGTGAGAACCCGGCATACTCCGTCCTGGCTTTGTAGGGAAGCGAGGTCAATGGTCTAACGACTACGGCATGCACGACAATGAGTAGACCTCCCCTCACGAGCGATCACCACATTCCCTCCTGGATCACAAAGCCGAGCCCACCACACTCCTGTTCTTGAATAAACACACAGACAGGCCCACCTTCAGTTCGCGCGATGAGTTCTTCAGGAAGAGGGGCGGTCCTTGTCACCTCAGACTGGTCTGGCGTCGGCGCCAGGGTCGGTTGGTTCTTGTTGCCGTTGGCGTTTTGAAGCCATCCCGATCCCGGCCGCTGTGGAGGGGCCATGTCGGAGAAGTCGAAGATTTGCCGAACAGAGCTTCTCTGTGTGTACGCGGAGCAATATCGTCAACGAGAGGGGGGCGGGGTGCAATGAAGCCGTCGTGGAGAGCGGTGAAGGTGGACATCAAACACGTTACAGTACCGATGTCACCCATTGGGGGGTGGGGGGGAGGGGGGCTGCTACTACTGCTGCCACCGGTCCTACACCATAAGTTGCTTCCGCGCATTCTTACAAACGCACAATTTAGGAGTACACGGTAGACTTGGCGGTTCGGAGACAGCACTATCAATGAACCCAATTTCCACAGCAGTTCCAACGAAAGAGGCTCCATGCAGACCGGCACCGAATATCGTAGCGGTACACTCAAATATACTGACCACCTTTCCGAACTCTTGTCTTGTGAATGGACAGCCGCCCCCAATTGGAGGCAGGCAGCTTGTTGTCAGAAGTGCAGAGGAGAGAAGGTTGACTCAGGACCTTGTATCATTGACGAGTGCGCCAGGCATGCTAGCCCATGCACGCAGATGGGGGATCGCCCCTCGACAAACATATACCACGATGAAACACGAAACCTCCTAGATCCCCGTATATCAGTATCGAGTGCTGGGAACCCCCAAACAGCCCCCTCTCGCCTGTCCAAACACTGATGCCACAAGAGCACCTCGAAACCTAGCGGTGGAGTCGACAATTACCAGCCGCAATACAGGCGGCAAAGTAGAACACTGACTCTGGGTTCATACTGTACCGCATAAGATACCACGGGTGTGGTATCTTACGCGACCCACAGACACCATCATTTCTCTCTGTACACGCTTCGTGCTAAGGAACGCGCCAAGAAAAACATACGTCCGCGACGCGATTTTAGAGACGCGTATGTGCGCAAGCGTGCAAGACAGCGCAAGCATGCGAACGTGACGTGCGCCACACGCATTGAGGGAGACTTCCTGCCGTATTGCGACTGGAGACGGTAGACTATACCGCTGGGTTTCGAGGTGCACTTGTGGCATCAGTCCTTGATCCCGCGGGGGGGGCGGCTGTCCATACACCAGACAATGATATCGGGGCGCGGTGCGTATGTGTGTTACGTAGGTGTGAGGGTGTGCTTGTGTGATTGTAGGAAACAACAGGAGCTCTAGTGAGCCGGAAGGGCTTACATGAGGGGGGAACAGAGAAGTACAGCGAAGTACAATTTACCAGCTATGGGCCTACAAGCCCTCTCACTGATCATTTTCACTAGAATACACGGAAAATAGAGTTATTGAGGCAGCTAGACGAATGATCATTTCAAGGTACACATGTAATGGCTACCCGCCCTACCGCCCGCAGCGTGATCCCCCATAAACCCTTTAATGACTATGTGGCCACCACCCTGTCGCGGGCTGCCCGTATGGCCTATACGTGGAGACAGCTGTTCTCCCACACAAATACACTTTGTCTCTCGTTCTGCACTTACCTTCTGTCTCTTTTATTCTTCGGTGAAAAACAAAATGACGCCGAAATGGACCTCGGGCCAAAGGGATTAACGCGAGTTTGTACATGCAGACTTGGGGACATGATTGAAGATGAAAAGGGAAAGGATGGGATGCTCGTATGTTGCCCCAGCTGCGGTTCCCGTGGCCTCTGAGGAAGTCGTCAAATGCGTGACAATAACCGTTATTGTCACGCATTTGACGACTTGCTCAGAGGCCACGGAAACGTTCTTGTCGCGCATTTGACGACTTCCTCAGAGGCCACGGGAACCGCAGCTGGGGCAACATAGAAGCATGCAGCTTCAATCATGTGTGTACCCACGTCTGCAGGTACAAACTCGTGCTCAACGACAAGCGCTTTAACTGTCCGGTTGGATCTGCCTAACATGGCCTCCAATGCCGTGAGGGAGGAGATTAAGGTACCCTCCCACGAACAGCCGTCATCATAGAAGTCCGACAACAAGCCACCGGTCAGTGTGAGTGACGACCATTGCATTCGGAAGGAGAACCGGAGGGGTTCTGCCTGCTCACCTATGGTAGTAACCTTGGTTTTCCATCGAGATCGGAGCAACTGGGTGCCGGACGAACCTGCTGCATCCTCGTGAATAGTGCTTGACAAGGCCGGTCACCGACACAGTAAACAAGATTACACACCCCCTGGGTATGGCGCATGGCGAGGCACGAGAAATCACCTCGTCGGCCCTCCTGCCCAGCTTTACACGCCCTCAGCAAGTTGCAGCTTGATCCGTGAATATCGTATATCTACGCAGCCTACTGCCGTTCAACGCAAGTTGCTATGCATTCTTGTGGAGAAAGAAACTCATTTAGTGCTTTGTCATGGTCGTCGCCTTCAACTTGAAACCGCTATTGATCCTTACCCACGTAGGTTCTAGACCATTGGCGTCAGTGAAAGTGCTCGGAAGCACTAACGCGTTCTTGAGGTGCGATGTGCCACCCTGTAGCTGAAGACGAATCACTTCTTTCCACTCATGAACATATTTTTCACCGCTTTCATCTGCCCATACCCAGTCCAGTTTCGTACGCTGCTGTGCACTTGTCTCTTCCGCGTGGCATCATTTACCGGGCTAGACCACCTCCAATTGGTCGAAGCTCGCCTACAGTACCTCATGGCATCGGCAATAACAGTGCAAACGCTGCAAAATACAGCAGGTACAACGAACAGTTCCATGCTGACCCGCACCGAATAGCGATATAGCACCTTCCAAGGTTTGGGCGAGGGAAATGTGTGAAGCTATTACGTGTACGTGCATGTCGTCTATGCTAGTGACTTGTCTACACTGCTGTCGTTGTGTAGACTAGTGTAGCAGCTGACACGACCACTACTGGATCTTTGGAATGTGTGTACGATTGCTAAAGATTGATGCAGCTATTCCACGATATCCTGGCTTCGGCTGGGCTCGAAATACCCCTGTTGCAGCCCTCCGCTCTTTGGATCAGTGACTGCCTAAGGATCGGGCGAGGGCATGTGTGGTGCCGTGATGTGTGTCTGTGAGATAGTAGTCTGATAGTCTATGTTAGAGATATCAATTTTGGCATTCGCATTTTGCGCATTGCGCATATCTCGGCAGGCTTCCCGCGATCTACCTGCTACAGCGGTAAGTTTTACCCGCTGGGACTGACGTCTTTTCAGTGGTCAGCCGGATAGCGCGGTCGATGCAAAGATTAAATACACTCCTACATAATAATACAAGGAATACGTTGTACCGTAGGAAGCCACACCGTCGACGGCAGCAACAGGGTGGCTTTCAGCAGGCCTCGAATCCATCGCCACCAATTTATCGCCACCGTGGAGCGAGGGGTCCTTGCGTTATGCTGGCAGTGCCTAAGGGCTCCTCCATAAACACGCATACCTGAGCACACAGCTTATGCCTACTCTGTACGCTCTCGCTCAAACCCGCCGGATTCGCTTGAGACCACTGCAGCTCATCATCATCAGTTCGGATTTGGAGATGTCGTGGACGCCGACAGAGAGGAGGAAGCACGCCCAAAAAATAAACATGAAGAGAAGCAGCTGTGAGTGCGCTTTTCACGGTGGGGCGGCACTTCGCACACTACACTACCTTTTTCCCCAAAGGAACAACACCGTCTGTAAACACAAAGAGGGGTGTCCGCTCTGTATGGGATTTTTCTCTGCGGTACTGGTGTGCGTTGGTTGAACATTGAACAGAGTCAGTTACCCTTCAAGCAAGGCAAGTTCGGAGGGTTGATATCCCGCCCAAAACAAAGACAGTGCGAGGGATTGTGTCTCCATGAAAGAAGATCAGCATCTAGAGTCTACCCTTGCCTACAGTACTCAAGGTCCTCAGCCCCATGAAACACGCACGCCCCTCTCCCTGTCACCTCTCACCTTTTCACCTTTTCGCCTATGAGTTGAAGTGGAGATGCTCCGCAAAAACCGGATGCATACGTGCTTGTTCTATCCTCTCGCGACCAAAGGAGGATCTCCGCTTTCGGGCGAAAGTGGTGAACGCTGATAAAGTCGAAGCTATCCTACTGTCCCATGCCGATTCCGAGCCTTTTTTCCAAGGCCCCGGGGCTCCGGTGCCTGCCACCCTCTTTGATGTGCCGCTCTCTTGATGCATGGACAACGGTGGGGGGCTGACGTACCAAGNCCCCCCCCCCCCCCTCGACTGGAAATTTTGCCCATTTCCAGGTTTGGTCAGTAGGGCCAAATGCTGAGCTGCAACGGGTTATAGGAACAACGACGACTCACGTCTGTACCTGTTGCCCAGTTTTTGTGTTGCACTCGATGGAGAAGGTGCCACCATGTGAACCTGGATGCCGCACACCACGCAATTATCTACTCCGACGGAGCGGCGACGACTTTATGTAGTCAGAGACACAACAGTGAATGAATTTTAGTGTTGTTGAAGTGATGCATTTGCTTCATACAAACCTCAAAGTATTATTTCTCCGTGGTGAGAACAAGTTGGTGAGAACATACACTCTGCAAACCAGCAACGACAAGTAAAGGTGTTTCTCCCGCGAAAAAAAAATGCTGCTGCTGCAGTGCTCCTGCTGTACACAAAAAGATCATCAAATACTATCATACTACTACTACTGTTTACTACTAACCACTACACTACTACTACTACTACTACTACTACTACTACTACTACTACTACTACTACTACTACT